CTGCATGTCAGTATGTAATCACACGGAAGCGACCAAGTTATTTACTTTTCCCTTTTATATTTTCGCGACTCGTTCCATATCTAGTAATAATACTTACATTTTATACAGCGTCATCAATGCTAATATCATTTCATAATGCTGTACATTAGATAAATAGAAGGTACAACTCCCATATACAGCCACTACTACCAGGCAAATGAAACCCCGAGTACTGCTACTACTACCAAGCACAATAAAAAATTCATAAACAAATTTAGAAATGGCACCAAAACTAAAATAACAAACAAGTCATCACAACAAAGGAACACAGACGGTCGTGTGTTGTGGGTTCTGAATGTTTGCAGGTGCTTAGGGAATAAGAGGGCGTGGATCTTGGGAGGCACTTGGCACCGTTTTTAAGAATGTAGTGAAGCAGGGTTGTTGTTGTTCTAAACACAGCTGCTGTGCACGGGCCCAAAGGCCCAATACGTTGAATAGTCAGCAACACACTTGTAATTAGTCAGTCAGTTTTTTTATCACTTAACGACACCTGTCTGGTATAGATCTGCCATTCAAGGGGCATATACATCGAACATAAAAAAAATGCAGAAAAAATAGCTTTGTGAAAGTAGAAATCTTTTTTTTATTAAACTAAAAAGCATGAAACTGATTACTTTCTTCAAACAATTCCCCGGCACCACAATCCTCGCCGCTATCATCACCACAGAGTTAATTGTTGTAGGTGAGCGATCAGATACGTGTTGGTAAGTTGTAATTTGAATCTAGTGATGGAGGAGTCAATGGAGATAATTATTGTCTCAGGGAAGTAATTCCATAGATGTGGTGCCGCAAATGAAAACAATGGCAGAATGAGCACGTTGCATGAATTAGCAAAGATGACGAGAGCTTGCCTTCATTATCTGTGCAATTCTGATGGCACAAGGCCAGCCGTCACGAAGGCGCTGTGCTTCACAGACATCGTCTGCAGTGGGAGAGATGTTGCTTGTCTGATGTCGGCTCGACTGGTTGAGTCATTGCCTGCACATCGCCCAAATTTGGCAACTTTGGTCCGTAACGGCAACTCCTTTTTGAAACACCAACTCAGAATATTAAACGTCCACCGTACATTTATTCACGGCTCGTTCACCCGCAGTATTAACCGGGACTGCTGGGGGGGTTGGGCTCGAACCGTGAACCTCCGCTACAAGCGGCACACGTGCTGCCTGCCGCTGGGCCACAGGCAATCCTCGGACGTGCGTAAGTGAGCATCTGAAAACCGGCCCAAGCGTTGCCATTAAAAGCAAGGTGCTATGATTGATGTGTTCCCATAGCTACGATTGATGTATTCTTGTGGCGACGGTTGATGTATTCTCATGACCAACTGCAAAGTGTTTTGATTCACAAACCGAATACCTTTGATAGGATAAGGCATGTAAACCACTTATGCAACCCTTAGCGTAGATCGCGATGCAGCCTAATAGGCTCTTGTTAATAATACGTTAATGTGCAATAGGCCGTAATGCGTTTATGTGTAATGCGTTATAGCTGTCCAATGATGCGCCAAATGTTTCGTGCCTCGCAGCTCGTCAGTAACGCGGAAGGAAAGGCACATTGCCAGCTCTGCTGAGATTTGAACCTGTGACCTTTTTACCTACACGACTGTGACTGTCCAGTGACAGGTAGTGCGTGGATACGAAGAGTTTAAAATAAATTACTTAGCGGATAAACGAGAGAATTAAGGCAAAAGGTTGTGGTCATGTTGGCAAAGTTGCAAATTTTGCTCATAAAGAGTATACGTTTCTCCCCATTGCATGACTATAGCAATGTAATCCTTTCATGTGACATCTATTACGGGTGAGGATGATGTCATTTTTCAGTCGTCGAAAATAAACACACACACACCTTTGAGATCACTGCTGCGTAGGTTCTCAATTGTGGATGTGCCCTACATCTTGTGAACTCTCGTGCTCTTTGTTGCTATCTGCTTGACGTCTTGATCCTTAATTTGGGCCGTGTTCTGCAACTGCGTTTACATTTATTCTTTAATCTCCCTGATGGTTTTATAGTGTTGTACCGCGTGCTGTTTACTATGGTGTTCGACGTTTCACTCCACGTGTTGCAAGCTACTTCAGGAACTGAAGAAGGTCCTGGCACGTGGAGCAAAATGTCGGACATTGTACCGAACAATGCGTCATACAACCCAAAAACATACCGGAGAGTTTTTGTGGGATTGTCATCTTACACGCAGAGCAAACAGACCCACACGGACAGAACATGTGAGAAACGTTCCATCACAGCAGGCATTTTCATATTAGATTAATCACACAAAGTGATGTAACAGAACCCATAGCACTATCTCGGGACACAGCTTGGGCTACAGTTAAGGTGTTAGTAAAGAGTATCTAATTTAAAACTGTAAGTTGATGCAGGCCTGTATACAACTCGATAGAGGGTCGGTGTTGCCACAGTGGTGCAACGGGTAGAACGCTGGACTTGGTGGCCGGTTCGATTCCATCTCCCGGCGCGGCAGTTGAGAAACTCTGGAGCAAGTTCATTAAACTCCCCCTCCCCACTCCTCCTCTGTCCACGCAGCAGTATAAATGGGTGACACCACAGTTAGTCGACAGGCAGGTTCCGTTTAGAGGGGTAAAGTGTGGGTTTGCCCAGCGTCCAACGAGCATGGAAGACTGGAAGAGTTCGCCAAACACCCCTCTGCTTCCACCAGCAGGAGCAATACATTGCAAGGCGACACCTTTACCGGTATTTCAGAGAGTGCGTTTGAAAGCCCTCCACTGTTCCCACTGTTTCTTACTTCAAGGGACATTTTTATCTATGCTGCACATAAATGCGTACCTGCGATCCGTAATGGGCTGCCGTAGTGTGAACAGATTGGCGTCAGGGTCAGCTGTAAGGGTTATTTATTTGACTGGCAGCAGCGGCATAGGTTGTTTAATGGCACTGAGCGACGGACAGAGTAGCCTTTATAAAAAAAAAAAACCTACTGACAAGTGGTGAATGTGGATGGAGGTGAGTGGAAATAAACTGGGATGTTTGGCCAAATATAAACGGTTTTGGAGCAAAGGTTAATACATGAGCAGAGTGAAACGATTGCATCTGAGCCGTCTAGCGTAGGCGTGGGGGACCTACGGTCCATGTGCCGTACCCAACCCGCGACTTCATTTCCCGTGGCCACATGAAACGGTCCACTGATAACTGTATGCCGTTAAAGCATCGTCGCCACACTAATCGGGTACTGAAGGGGAATATTTTTCTACTTTGCAACGACGCTAATTTTAGTGCACTCAGAATCAGAATCTTTATTAATCCTGGATAAATCCGATGAACTATGAAGCTCTTTTCACTCACCTCTGTCACTGTGAGGGCCTCAGTTCCTGAATTGACTTATGTGTGTGATAATGTGTGGTGGCGCACCAAAGATATTCGAGAGTCGTATTCACCCCCCCAAGAAGGATTCGGTTCCCCAGTTGTGAGTTCTAATACAGCTTCGGCTTTTGACTCAGGGCGTCATCCATCCGAGGTCAATAAAATCAGTGCCACTTTGTGGAACGTCAACAGCAGTTGTAGTGTTGATTAAATTGACCCCAGTTATTTAAGAAGTGCCAGGGTGGCGTGATGTTATCTTCCTCGCCTGGTATCGAGGTCGGGGGTTCGATCCCCACTCTGTTGACACCTGCTGTATATTTGGAGTTTACATGTTCTACCCTTGGTCGCGTGGATTTTTTCTCCATATCCTTCGTTTTTTCCCTTCCACATTTATAAACATGCGTTTAGATTATTTGGCTACAATAGATGTCCACATGTTAAGCAACTTCGTTGAGCTGTCATTTGTGGCCAGGTCGCTTCTGAAAAAAAAGCTAATAGCTCAGTGGGCTTTACCTGGTAAAATAAAAGGTTTAGTTTTTAGTGATTTGCTAACATTTCCTATACTTTGCACTCCTATCCTGTGTTCGTATGATTTGTTGTTGTAACTTTTTCACCCGCCCCTTCTAGAGATCTGTGAAAATTTACTTTGATCGCTTATCGTATTTCTCCAGTACAAACAAAGAGTCTAATTCTGAACGTGGATTTTCCACCTCGGTCTTTGGGCTGTGAATGTAAATGCGCCGTCTGGAAGTGCGCCAACGATGCACTTGGCAGGAGGCGTTTAAACTATCGCTGCTGCCGGGTGCTGTCAGCTGTAGTATCGGAGAGCAACCGGCACCGGGGAGGCGATGGAAATGTGCGTGCAGGTCGCATTCTTCCTGCGTGCTTAGTTTGTTGCCCTTCCCCCGCACCTCCAATTATCATGATTGGCTACGTACAGTGCGAAAGAAGTTCAACATACATACACACATACAAGCAACACCCCGGGCACGATCGCTGGGCCACGGCCGTGCCAGCTCGTTTCTGTTCATTTGCTCCTCTCTATCCTCACGAGACGATGGCATTTTTGGAGCGCCGATGAGGCTCCGAAAATAAAAATGCGAGGCAGCGACTTGTGAGCAGTATGTGCGGTGGAATAAAGTGTGGGTACCTCCATCTCTTTAATACATTTCATCTGAACTGTGGCTCTGGGCCAGAAGAGTGTAAATTCCACATGACTATGGCAGTCACCGGTCTGTGCTCACTAAAGGCATGTTTTTGTCAACATTGGCTTATTTCAATGATTAAACGCAACAAAAAAAACTGGCCAAGCTTCGTTCATGTAAAATATCCGTCCATTTCGAGACGCTTACGATTTGTCGGATGTGTCCGATCGTTTGTCTCCTCGTGCTGTTTGTCAGGTGCCGTCACTCGTTTCCGCGATCGCTTCTGCGTCGATAGCTGACAGCTGCCATCCCCATTGGGTTGGCGAGAACTGCCTCGTCTGTCTATGCTGCCACGAAATGCGCCGGCAGTCGCTAACCGCTCGCTCCCCGCCCTCCCCCTCCCGCGTTGTCTGTCCGCCCGTGTGTCTGTGTGCGACTGTGTGCGACTGTGTGCATCCGTGCGTCCGCCAATTTTGCCCGTTTGTGCCGCAGATGGAAGAGATCGTGACGCGGATGCAGGACGATAAGTCCGGTGTCCCCATCCGAACGGTCAAAAGCTTCCTCTCCAAAATCCCCAGCGTCTTCACCGGTGCGTGGACCTCAGTTTGGAGGGGGGAGGAGGAAGGGGGGGGGGGGGGAACGGCCATCAAATGTCAAGATTTTTAAACAGGACCCTTCATTAGAAAAAAAAAAACATTCAACGTACGTTTTCTGGTAAATGTCAATGAAATACGAATTTTCTGAGATTTCCAGGGGGTGGGAAAGATGCGGGGGGGGGGGGGGGAGCGCAATTGCCCCCATCGCACCCCCCCCCCCCACCCTGGATCCGCCACCGGTGTGGACCTCGGGGGCGCAGCCATCGATGGCGGCCTGACGGACGCCTTCTTTATTGCGCGTGGGTCTGCAACGCGCACTGACCTCACGGTCACAAGGTTCTGAGACAGAGATATTAAAAGTACACGAGGGGAAAAGACGCGTTTACAGTTTAATTTCCACTCGTCATCACGTAATCCTGTTTGACAGGTACATTTTGATGGAAAGGTTTCACAATAACTGTGACGCAAATTCAGTTTTTATCTTCGGTGCAAACTTATTTTTGTAATAGCCGCATTTTACATGACTTGTTTGTGTTTTATCACAGTTTTCATCGTCTGATGTTCAGCATGCTCACGGAAAACAATTTTCTAATTAACAAAATACTCGCATGTGGTGGAGCAAGCCAATGTATTAGTTGTTTGAAATGGTTTTGTTATTTATTTATTCAATTAAATTAACACATCAAGGCCCCTCGCCCTCGCCCGAAAGGCACATTTAATTATCCATTTCAAATATATAAATAAACGAGCAAAGCATCGCAGTGCCAATCGGCTGAATGCCTTTGCGGCATGGACAAGAGCAAGTGCGACGATTCAGACTTCTGTTTGACCACTGGCCTCGTGACCTGGTTCCACAAAGAGAACATTCCGGTGTGAGCTCCTCGCTCCGCCAGTCGTGCGTTCCCGAACGCTTCCTTCGGGGACCAATCAGTGCAATTCATTTTAATGCAGTGATTTACGACCGTCTCAGTAACCTGTGCGGGGAGAGTAGCTCTCCGGCTATCCAGCGGACAAGATGACACGAGTGTGAGTCACCGGGGAATGACCGCAGGCGATAAAGCCGCGCGCAGCACTGACTGAGGCTGGTTCGTACGTTGCATATTTGTATGTTGAACATCTTTGGCACCGTACGTAGCCAACCGTGCTAACCGGCGGTGTGGGGGAAGGACAGCAAACGTAACACAAGAAATTAGTTTAGAATCTAAATTTAAAAGTGCTAAGCTCCAGTGGCTTCCGAATAGAAAACCGCAGGAGGTTCACAGGGAGAGATGTCATCGGGGTTCTTTACCTCTCCCCACCCTCTTCCTGTTCTGTCGCTTCCCACTGGACCTGTTCCACTTTCGTCATCAATTGTCAACCTTCACCCATCATCATCACAGTTGGCTCCGTACGGTGCGAAATAACATATTCATTAGAAATTCATTGCAACTTTATTACCACCTTCGTGATCCTCTGCATCATCATCATCATCGTCATCATCATCATCAAGTTCCAATCATCTTCAAAAGTCCAGTCCAATTTGGATTCATACAGCATCGAAATGCAACTGTATTTCAAGGTACTATGTAGAAAAACAGTGGAAATATTTATTTTATGGAGACAAAGCATCAGAGAAAGAGATAAAGTAATAAAAAGAGCAACATCTTGAGCCTGGATGTGAACCTAGGCATGGAGCAAGGATGCCTGGAGAAGGGAGATCCAGACCTTCGGGAGCAGCAGAAGAAAATGAGCGACCTCCCACTGAGTAAACGTTGACAGACGACCTCTGTCTCTGGAGTGGAGAGTGCATCGAAAGGAGTTGAATTGGGATGAGGGGGAGGGGTCGGCCGGAGCGAGTCCACGAAAGATCTTGAAAAATAGTAAATGCAGTCTCAAAATGTATCCTGGATTTGCTTGAGAGACAGTGGAGGGATCGAGGTGTTGGGGTGATGTGGTTCTGTTTGTAGATGCTGGCGAGGATTCTCCCAGCAGCAAGATCATCTGGAGTAGCCATTCTCATAATCGATTACCGGTTCCAGTTGTCAGAAACTAGGAACCATTTCCTGTGCAATTAGCAATTAAAGCACTGGTTGGCACGCGTGGCCATCTTACAGCACCTAAACTAAACTATACAATTTTTTTTAAATATTTGAACCAGGTAAGGCTCACTGAGCCATAAGCTATTTGTCAGAAGCTCAACGTAGTGGCTTATCACGTGGAGATTTCGAGCAGCCAAATCCTCTCAACGCATGATTTAAAATGTGGAGGGAAAAACCGGAGGACTCGGAGAAAAAATCCACGTGACCACGAGGAGAGCATGTAAATTCCTGTACACCAGACGAGGTAGTTAACATCTTGCCACCATGCCTATACCCATGACAGACTTAATTGCACGTGCTGCAAAGCGACAACAGGCTATGGGTTATTACAATGTGGTTACTGGTAATGAAAGTAAAACGGTTTTAACAGTAAAAATGTGGAGTTAGGAGCCGAGGGTTTTGGCGAGGCCGTTGAAGAGTGGCAGTGGTTGAGTGGGGATGCGATGGAGGCATGGACGACGAGGTTGCTCGCGACAGCTGGTGGAAGGAGTTGGCATATTTGGGAGATGTTGGCGCAGACTGAGGGAAAGGATGCTGCAGACTTGAGCTACGTGAGAAGAGAACCAGAGATTGGGGTCAATGACAACAAGCTTCACGCGCGTTCGGATGCGCTTCTGCAGTCGTCTCGAACGCTCGTCCTTCCGATATTAGGAAGCCACTGGAGCCATGCACTTTTAAATCATCTATATTGAAAACGCATTTATTTAAAACTGCTTTTTGTGTTTAGTTTGTTGTCCTTCCCCCCGCACCTTCGATTGCCATGGTTGGCTACGTACGGCGCGGAAGAAATTCAACATGCCTACGTCAGAGCTTAGGAAGTGCGTTATCATTCCTCGTGGTATAGTATGAGCCGGGAATGGTGAGACTGCATCATTCGGTGAGAAGTCAGCAGTGGTTTTGTTATGCTACGTGTCAGTAGTAATCCCCACCACTGACACAGGGACTGACTGCCACCAGAAACGTGTTGTCTCGTGTTGCTTTGTGAAAATGGAAACTTTGCCATGACTTGCCAAACGCTGTTAGAAAGACTGTACCACGACAATCGAATCAGTGTCTCTGCTGCACCGAGCCACTGGGCCATGCCCGTCTCTGCTGGTGGTTGGTGTTGGACAGTGCGTTTAAGATTCCTGGCGGCCACTGCTGGAAATTCCACATTTCCATGGCAGGAAAGTTGTTCATCCTTGGTTACAGGAAGTACCAATTGTCAGTCATGAATGTGGGGCTTGTCTGCATGTCCCCAAATAAACATAACCAACGTGTACACACGAGAGCACTGAGACGTCATGATATGTGATGTCAGCGTGGCCATCCACTTGTATGGATCCCATTTGGCAGCTCTTTTAAATCTTCATCTCTCGGACTTTCAGAGAAGCCAAAAAAATAAAAATGCAGGGATTTTTCCTCCGGCGCCATCATCGATGCGGCTGCGAGGCCGCGCTGTCGTCATTGATTGTGCACGGCGACATGCGGCGATCAAACCCCAACGCCGCCGCCTCCACGCGAAGCGCGGCCGCGCTCCACGGAATGCCGCGTTCGCTGCCGCGCCACGCAGAGAGCGCTGCAGCTGCCGACGCGAGCACAAGCCAAGCGCAGCACACTTCACAGGCATTCTGTGGATTTCTATCGAAGGGGGCAATTGCAATGAATTGCGTGACTTGCCTTGGCTCAGAATGAGCTGATCAAGACAGTGGCTGAAGCAATTTCAGCATCACGGTCGTCTGCTCAAGCCGATAACTTCCCACCCCCCCCCTCACCGCCATTTGTTTGGTGCCATCCATCTGTGGGCTCCGCCGTTTCTTCTCTTCGCGATTTGTTGGTTTTGCTGCTCCGTTTATTTCCGGGGCTTTTCTTTCACAGATGGCATCTGCGGGTGGTCCGTCGTGCAGGAGGCAGCGTGTTGTTGGATCAGTGCAAGGGGCTTAGCGCAGCGATGCGACGACATTTTACGAGGCGGTTATCTCCTCCAAGCTCCTGCCGCCAGCCTTGCTGCTGCCTCCGCCACTGCCACTCATCTCTGTCCGCGTTGCTCCTCCTCTCTCCTCCCTCGCGCTCGCTCGAACGGAGCCTTGCTTGTAAAAACTGGCCTTCATGCAAAGTGTTGTTCGGTATGTCCGACGTTTTACTGCACGTGCTCGGAGGCTGTTTGAGTGTCGCACAATGTGCGGTAGAACCAGACAAATGTGCCGGCGAGCTGGGCTAGAGCGCACCACCGCGACACATCTGGGGAGTAAACGAGTGGCGATGAGTGTGCTTGTGTTTAATTGCACTCTTAATGCTGTCCTTTGCTGCCAACAGGTGCAGACATTGTGCAGTGGCTCACAAAGAACCTGATTATTGATGATCAAGGTGGGAATACATTTTGCATTTAAATGAAAAATGATGCACCGCAGCACGCTTGTGTCATGAACTAACATCCTGCGATCCTGCACACAGCTGCCTGCCTGCTTGGCCGTCCGTTGCATTGATGATGACCTCAGTGAGGATGTCCCCTGCTTTGTGCGCCAGTCCGAGGCTAAGCAGACTCAGCAAAGACTCGTATAGAGACCTCCAGACTCAAAAAGAGACCCATAGATTCACATGGAGACCCAGACACTCACAGAGAGACCCATAGACTCACATGGAGACCCATACACTCACAGACCCATAACCTCATGTAGAGGGCCATGGATACACCTAGAGACCCATAGACTCACATAGAGACCCATAACCTCTTATAAAGACCAACAGACTCGCATGGAGACCCATAGACTTGCACACAGATGCATACTGTGATTCAGTGAAGACTAGCATACAGAATCCATAGACTCACAAAGAGATCCATAGACGCATATAGAGAACCATGGACTTACATAGAGATCCACGCTGCAAGGTGAGCCCCAGTTCGGTGTCGAAAGCCCCTTGCGTCGACGTCACAGTTGGCAGCGGGGAGCCAATCGTCGTGAGCCAGCTCGGCGTGACGTCACTCCCTCTGGGTTCGGTGTCCGCCTCGTGCTGCACAATCCAATCCGATAGCCCCCAACAATGTCCCAGAGCCGGCTCGGGGTTCACCGTGTACTTGAAACCTCATCTCACCGAGCAAACTTTTGTGCTGCAAAGTCTACAAAGCTGTTTGGTGTACGGGTGAACCCTTGCAGAATGAGATGTCGTGGATAATGGTGAAATGTGTGCAATGTCATTCCTGCGCTACGCAGCAGTTTGAGAACAGTCCTTCACTCGTCAGAGAAACCCTCGCCGATTCTAAAGACTCCTTGCACCGAGGGTCCTGCTTGGAATACGTGTTCACTTCCTTACATTGTTGTGTTTTGCATGTGTCAAGCAACTGTGGTGCCTGAAGAAACACTTGGGCCACCGAAGCTAACAACACCCGCAAATCTGTACAAATCGGTCGGCATCTTACTTGTTAAACTGCATTTCTACCGGCGATCTGAGCCCCCCCCCCGTGAACCACGGCCCCCCTGCTCCGGCTACACCCTCGGCAGCTCCTGCCTGCGCCACGTCGTGCCGGGTCGCTTGCTCGCGTGCCTGACGCGTGCGCGCTGCTGCTGCTGCTGCTGCCGTGCAGAGGCGCTGCACGTGGGCACCCTGATGGCGGCCCACGGCTACTTCTTCCCCATCTCCGACCACGTGCTCATGCTCAAGGACGACGGCACCTTCTACCGCTTCCAGGTGCCCCCCCCCCCACGTCCCCCTGCCGCTTCCACCGACTCTGCGGCCGCGCTATCCCCGTGGGCTGGGGCTGGCTGTGGCAGGCAGACACTCGGCAATCGGGTGTAGAATTTGTTATTTTTGTCACGGAGGTTCATAGTTGGTAGAGGAGAAGGAAAAGTTTTTTCCTGAGGCTGGACTTGAACCAGGGATAAGGAGTCACCAGCTCTCATAGCCGGGAGTGAGGGGGGGGGGTAAGACATTGGGGCAATAGAGGAGAAGGAGCAACCTCCCATGAAATGAAAGTTGACTGGAGGCTGTGATGTCTGGTAGTTGGAGCACACTCCTCCGTGTGACCGGAGGATGAGAGGGAATGAGTAGACACGAGCGAATGTCTGGAGGATCTCGACAACATTGAGGGCTGACTTCAATTCGATACAAAACTTTTATAGACAGCCAGTGGCAAATCGGAGAAATATTACTGTATAACACGCAGGCTTTTCAAGACCGATATTGTCTCATGATAAAGTTTATTGGGTTGGGTCGGGTGAATGTAAATATGTCGTACACCCACCTCCACCCGACAGCCAATTAGTCAGGGTTATCACGTGAAGATAACGTGCCAATCAGTTAATAGTTCAGCACACCGGTTGTGTTAGAGAGCAAACCCACAACACATTAACAATTGAGTACGACGTTTCGCTGGTGATTACAGCCAGCATCATCAGGCGATTGCCATACAATTCTGGTAATATGTTTGTATTGTCTGCCAGCACTGCCACGCTGGCCTTCATGTGAGACTCTTCTCATCGGCGATTGCGCCAAAGCAAAACTCTTTGCTCAAGGGAGTTGCCTTCTTTGGTGTTGCCTGCAGTGAGCTACTGCACCACAATGGGTGTTTCAATGTGGCTCTTTCTTTTATCACTCAGAATAATAATTTGCGTAGTTTTGGAGAATGTAAACAACACAAATAAATAAGCAGACAATGTTTCCTTCACATATCCTCATCTCCACGTACAACTTAAAAGTATTTCTTACACAACCCATCAGCCGCACGGCCTTCTGGGAACACTGGATATATTAAATGCTGTGTCTCATCTTCTTGTTAATAGTTCTCATACCGTTGGGTCCTGGGTTTAGTTGGCGACCTTTGAGCTCTTTGCGAGCTGAGCCTTATCTGTGTTTGTTTACAGACACCATTCTTCTGGCCTTCAAACTGCTGGGATCCAGAGAACACAGACTATGGTACGTGTTTTTTCTTCTTCTGGTTCATATATTACAATTTTATTCGCAACTGTCAACTCTTTACCGAGGAGATTTCTGCTTGGAATATTTGCCAATTCTGTAAAGAGTACATTATAGTTTGTGTGTACGAGGAAAGCAGTGGTGTCTGGAGAAAATGCATGCACATGAGGGGATAACACAAACAAATGCACACATAGGGTCAGCCACACGAGCGCAAAGTAAAGTTCAAATCCATACCATGCCTCAAGTGCTGTTTGCAACTATAACACCGGGTGAATATGACACAGTGGAGGCCCTTCTGCCAGCAGTGTTGTGATCAAGAAATTGCAGGGCTGCGCCTTTGCCTTCATCAGTAATTGAGAAACGAAGGCACCACGTGGGGTGGGGGGGGGCTCTGCAGCTGTAGGCGCTGTAAGGCCAGTCGGAGTCCGCCTCCCCGTCCCGCTTGGACGTCCTCGCGTGCCAATCGGTGCAATCTTCGTGAACTTTCCAGAGGAAACGGTCGCCGGTTCCTGATGGTTGGAACCGGTAATGAATCATTGATCACCACTTCACACGATCGGAAAAATAAGTATTTCGCCACCGTCACCATTTGCTTGAGTGTTAAACATAAGTCAATGCGCACAAAGCGGAATGAAATGTGCGTGCGTTTAATCTCGTGTGTCGCCACTCTCCCTCTGTGTGCGTGCAGCCGTGTATTTGTGCAAACGAACCATGCAAAACAAAGCTCGTCTCGAGCTCGCCGATTACGAAGCGGTAAGTCACCCGCAAATTTGAAATTGGACAGTTATTGAAAACAGAGAATATAGTTGAAACACGTCACTCTGTTTTAAGATATCTGGAACTGTTGTTGATTTCACTTGCGTAGCGCATTGTACCCTAAATGCGTCATATTAAATACCAAATACTGCAAAGGTTCATGTATATATTGGTTCAACAGAAAACACCATCTCGCTATGGAGTAGTCAAAGTAATTTCTCATAAAATTGGCATTTTATATGTTTTTATAGTTATATCACACCACCTTTTACAATATTATGTTATCATGTTACATTATTATTAACTTGGTAATCACAGTCGTCATTTTTATAACGCAAAAAAATTAGTTTTTTTACAGGATGTGCATGCTTTTGTATAGCTTTGTGTACGTGTAATCTCTATACAAAGTCTAAGCTTCTAATCTTTTTGTACTTAATCCAGATTTCCCTTGCAAAATAGGTATACATGTAATTCCCATATATTGAAGGCATTTTGTTATAAAAAGCCTCTTAAGGGTTCATTTAGGTCCTGCTTATGACATTGGCACTCTCATCTGCCGTTTGTGTTTTCACAGGAGAGCCTGGCGAGACTTCAGCGAGCGTTTGCCAGAAAATGGGAATTCATCTTCATGCAGGCCGAAGCGCAGGCTAAGTGAGCCTCCAGTTGGTTTTTAACATTCACATTTTACGTTCGGCCATTCCCCGGCGCGTTTCAATGTTTCCTCTCTGCAGCATCTGTCTGTCGCCGCTGTGTCCATTGAATGGGGACTCATAATGGTCACGTTAGAGCACTGAGTCGGAATCAGGGCTTGCACAGTTGGCCTCAGAAGGGGGCCTCGTCTGGCATTTTACCCCAGGCCTCCAAAAACCTTTCAGCTGACACCACTGATCCTGAGTTCGAATCCAGGCATCCATCAGTGTTTAAGCTGGCTTTTCAAGAATTGTGAAGCACTGGTCTTAATACAGACACAAACAAAGAAAACACGAGTTCAATTGTTTTATTTTCCTACTAGTTTTATCCTAACCCAGTTATGAGTGCCAACACGTGTATATTTGATGGTTGTTAAAACATTGTGACCCACGCAATACAGCGTATGAAGGAGACCCATCGCAGTAAATCTGAGAGTGGTTCTGTGGTGCCGTCTTACAGGCCCATTCAATTGATTTGAGGCTCTGCTGACTGAAGTCCTGGAAAGATATCTTTTTTTCAAATACCTTGATCACAACAAGATTGATGGTGAAATAAAAAAAAACGGTCAAACGTGATGCAGTTTTATATCCTACGGAGGAGCAGCCATTTGTTACAATTTGGCCCAGGATTAAATGACAAATAATAAATACAAAACAGTCTCCAAATTGCTTTCGGAATTCTTTTCCCCTCTGGTGTAACGGCTTCAATATCTGACTATTCGTGGGTTGCTAAGCGATGCTACAAAGTCACACACATACAGTGAGGAGCGGAGCTTCTTATTAATTTATGTCAGCTCACATGGCCTCATTTTTTGCCCACAGTGTCTCTCAGTAAAGGACCTTGCTCCCCCCTCACCTTGTACTTTTGTGAACATCTGACTGGCAGAAGACAATTAATAAGATATATGAGATCACCCTAAACTCTGCCCTGCTGTGCTTTCTCAGACAAAAAACCCCCAAACATGTCACATTTTCCCAAGGCCGTGGCGTTCACAACATGTGTCATTTCATCCGATTAGAGTCGACAAAAAACGGGACAAGATTGAGAGGAAGATTCTGGACAGCCAAGAGCGTGCGTTTTGGGACGTTCATAGACCAGTGGTAAGTCTCCCGTCCGTCGGGTTGATTTATGACAGGGTGGCAAGCCAGGCTGTTAATGGAGTCTCCACTTAGTTGAAAGATTCGACGGTGCAGAGCGACGTGCGCATGGAGGCATGCAAGCAAATGGACGCGTGAGCGCGCTCCCTCCCACTTCAGTTCTATGCACGTGCCAGTCGTGCTTTTACTCAGGATGACATTAATTATTCAGCCCCTCTGATTGCCTGGCGGCAGAGGCAGCGGCCGGCAATCAGAAGGTCGCGAGTTCAAATCCTGGTTGGAGATTGACTCAGCAGATCATCCTTATGAGGTCGATAAAATCAGTACCACTTAGTGAGGATGTCAACAGTGGTTGTCCTCTGGATAGCCTTTCTCCTTCCACAGAAATGAGGAATTTCCACTACGAGCTCAGGGCTTTAAAGAGATGAGTACTGAGGCAGTACTATTGGTTCAGTACAAGATGCTGCTGAAACTGTGTACGCTCAGAAGGCCGTGGGGCCAATGGGTTGTGTAATAAATTATTTTATTTTCATGTAGAGAGACAGAAGGAGACACATTGTTCGCTTATGTATGTTATTTATATTGCCATAAATGAGGCTATAGGTGATTTTGAGTTATGTTTTTACAACCAGGGTTACTGTTCCAATTAACTTCACTCAATGCTTTTTATAAAGATGTTGAGGTCTGCCAGACAATTTCTGTCGTCTTGCCATTAATTTTGTGTTCAACCACCAACACTGCATGTTGCAACAACCACTGCCTTCTGCTTCTCTCCTCGCACTGCTCGACTTCGAGTGGTTGCTACGAGTTATTGTTGCATATTTCGCCTTTGGGCGTGTGGTCAAAGGCCCAAAAGCGTTACCGCGATTAAACAAAGCATGTTTGGGACTGGACTGGTACAACTGCGTGGACGAACAAACTCTCCGCTCTCCTTGAATCCACTTCTCATTTCTCTCCAACAGAGTTCCACTCTTTACGTTAAAAATAAATAAATCAATATCCTGCTTAAAAATAGAGTTAGCCTGTGCATAATCAATTCATTAAGCGACGACGGAATGACTCCGTGTTGTTTCCGTTGTCACGACGACTCGGTTAAAAAGTGGTGAATTCATCTTGTGCCCAGCCTGGCTGTGTGAACACGACAGAGATGGACATCAAGAAATCGTGCCGCATGAAGAACCCACACAAAACCCGAAAGGTGAGCTCCAATCCCCTAGGGCAGCGTTCCTCACTAACTTTGAGAAAGGGCCCACTTTCTCCAACATCAGAGTGTGAGGGCCACCACACATTTGAAACCATTGGGTTTGAAAGCACAATAGGGGGGCGGGGGGTGTTTCACATTTGTGTATTGTCGGGGGCCGCCCCAAAGGCCACCAGGGGCCGCCCGTGGCCCACGGGCCTTGCAATGAAGAACGCCGTCTTACACCTCAGCCAACTCCCCATTATCACATTATCAGAATTTCGGATTAACCGTGGTTTGTGATAAAATATATATATTCAAGCATGGGCTCGTTTAATTAGTAGCTGATCCTCACTCATGTGAGGTCCTGTTATCTCTGGGTTTATTAGCAAAATTACTTCACGTTTCCGTGACACAAAAGTTGTGGATATCCCACGGCTAATGGGATGAATCTATCATGCATCTCCACTTGACCGCAAAATAAATGCAGATGAATAGGAGACCGTTCTATGATGAGGAAAATAGATAAAAACACGGTCAATTTGTGAAAAATATGGGGGCCCATTTTTTTCTAGCCCCAATTGGTCCCATGTAAAATAGAATTCAAGGTTAATAGGGCCAAGGATAAGTGGAATTCTGCTGTGTATGTCGCATATTGTCAATTCGTTGTGTACATTTGCAAGCAATGGAGGCAGCTACATTCTCCACAATGTCAACAAAGATTATCGATTCTTGAATGGAATTGCAGCCTGGATCCGTGAAATATCGATTCTAGAGAGTTGCATGCGAAGCTCTTTTACCCTAGGAATATGGAACACATTTGGCTGGGAACCCGAGACTGTTAACACCCAGATTGCTGCAGCCTGAGAGGCACGGGAGATGGATCGCACGTACACGTCGCACGGCTCACACCTTTCTGGGTCACGTCTAATGATGTCTGCTGGCAGCCTGCTGGGTGGGACAGTGTTCACTAAGCCTCGCACGCAAGCCTCACAGCAAGCGATTTCGTATAACGAACGAAAACCGAGCAAAAGTAGACCCCAGAACAACTGGGAAGCAAAATGTGTATGACTCGTCGATTGCGATGTAATATCGTGGATCAGAGCTCCCTGTCGTGAAACAGTAAGGTTTGGTAATACAAACAATGTATGTATATATTGCAGTGCTGCCTGGTTTACAATATAGTGCGTTTAGAAAAAAAAAATCTACTTTAAAAAAGCAGCCTGAGGGTGATGGATCCGTCAGCCTCAATTTCGACGAATGGCTCGGGAAAATATTCAAAAGTGCCACCTATTTGATGATTAGGTCTCTTCAGAGAAAACCTTTCACCTATATGCTCTATTGTAATTCAAATAGGGTATAGGAAATGGTAGCTGCTGTCAAATGCATGAAAATCACTGAACAAGGCGTTTTTTTTTACAATGTCACATGTCACCAAAGAAAAACGTCCAGAAAATGTTCATTCATAAATATTTTCAAGGCTGAAGCTTTTCCTTTGAATAAGAGACTGTTGATTTCAGCGCATGCAAACACACAAAATACAGAAATCCCCCGTATAGCGTTAACATACTTTTGGGGCAAGTGCTGTAAGTGAGCAGCTATGAAGGCCGGCACAGCACACAGAGAGAGGTGGGTGGCCAGCACCATGCCCGGCCGCCTTAGTCTCTTTCGTGGCGACGTTTACATATCGCCCAAGGCACTCATTTGAGGCTGAGTCGACCCCGGGGATTCCTGAGACTGGTTCAGATAATCGTCACTGGTGTTGGTAGCCATCAGTGGGAAATAAATTCGACTCACTAGATTCGTAGTACAGTGCGCTAACCACTGCACTACCGCACCTCCGATTAGTACGGTTGGCTACATACGGTGCAGAAAAAGTTCAACATACATACAACACACACAACAACAGCCGCCATTCCCTACTAAGTGGCAGTGACGTCAACGCGGTGCTTGTACCAGGCCAGGCGATCTTGACACCGCTGGTACCGGTCTTCAGCAAGTCCACTCAGCTCCACATCCTCCTGTAACGCATCAGTCCATCCCTTCTCAGCCCGCCGCACTAATTTTGTCCCCTCTATCCAGCCCAAAGAAGATGCTTGGGCATGCGGTGGCTGGGCATGCGGGCTACATGCAGCCTTGTGCACCGGAGGAGCTCGCTGATCGGAATGTGTCGTTTAACCCAGGATGGATCATAGGCAGGACAGCCTGAATGTTTCAATCCGGAGCAGATGTTCTATTAGAGGGGTCCACGTTTCGCAAGCAAATAAAATGGAGGGCATGACAGTGACCAAGAAGAGTTGGAGCTTTGTGTGGAGCGTCAGTTGAGATAGCTTCCATACAGCGTGGTGCTGGCCACCCACCCCCTTGTGTCCTGTGCTGGCCTTCATAGGTGCTACTCGCTAGCAGCACTTGCCCCAACAGTCTGTTAAGGCTATACCTGGGATTTTGTCTTTTTGTGTCCCACTTGTCTTATCTAGATTTATAGAGCGCTTTAATCCAATGCTTTACAGCAATTAAGAAATGGTACATGTGATAAAAGTGTTTGAGATAAAGTGTCATTATTTTGAAGTTGCGGTGGAGATTTTAGTGATTTTATTTAGCCGCTTCTCGATACCAATCGGTGTTCCGTTGTATGTTAAAATGTAAATGACAAGCGACTGTCCTCGGGCGAGTTCTCATGTTTAGCCATCCAGTACGATGTCCGACACATCGCCGCACTTGCTGGTAGCTTCTTCTGGAGGTGAACGTTGATGAAATGAATGTTAAAGAAGCTCCCGGCATCTGGAGCGAAACGCTGGACATTGTGCCGCATCGGAGAGAGGCTGCACGACACAACCATGAAACCTCACTTGGCAGTCGGCCCGCTGTCGTGTGTTTCCTGGGAGTCACCCCGTTGCTGTGTGTTTTTTCACAGTCGGTCTACGGTCTCCAAGGCGACTCGCACTCCCAGAGTCCCACGCACGCTCTGCCTGTCGACGCCAAGCCCCCCACGGAGGACGAGCTGAGGACCCAGGCGAGTTCAACCGCTATCTTCTCATTGTCTGGCTTATCGACACAGAGCACCTATCACCGAACAAGTAGGAGGGAGCATAGATCCTGCCAGAAATAGGGGAGCCTCTAGCAGAACATTTTTTTATTATAAAATATCTTTACGTGCTTTTTTATTAATAAAACTTCATGTTAAAGTGCTAAAAGCTATTCAGGTCTCAGTAAACGCTGCAATACGTTGCCCACAGCCGTTAAAGAACCCTTCGTTCGCTCCCATTGGTTGGGACGATCCGCTTGCAGTGCACTAATCTGAGATGGTGAATAGTTCAATGTGAATGTGCAGTTTTATTGAGGGACTGTGTGTTGTTGTCTTGGTGTGGTCTGGAACTGTTTTGCTGTTGTTTTGCTGCCTTGCCAAACCTTTGGAAAAGATGTACTTATGCAATTTGAGCTTATATACTTTATTTACATAAATAATTTTATATATTTATAGTGATTTTCTTAGCTTTCGTATACTTTGCACTCCTATAGATTGTGTTGTATTGTTTGTTGTTGTGACTTTATGACTCGCCCCTACTCATCGGATTTCTCCAGTCTAAATAAAGATTTTGATTCGGAGTACAGTTTACATTTATGCTGATGCCACTATGTCTCCAATGGAATTTCTGGAAAACGTCTTCTGACATCGCTGCTGCGCAAATAGTGTTCAGTGGAAGCGCACCTCCTCGTTTGACTCGGCGTTTAATTGGGACGATGTTGCCACCTTCACGCAGTTGCAGCGTAGCTGCTCTATCCACATAACTGGTTTCTGTACATTCTGAAATAAACGATTAAGCAAATAGAATATTCAGGCAGCTACATTATCCAGTCAAACACCTGCTTCATGGTCTACAAAAGCCAGCCATCATGAATGGTATTTAGTAATATGGTAATTTGATGTACAGATTAATAAAATCGAACACTCAACGAAAGATGTGGGATTCTTAACGAGTAGCAAATTAGTGTTAAAAAAGCAGAAGATAATGAAATGGTGTTTACTGAGAATGCAAAACTCTTCAAGATAAGCTTTAAACACTTGGTAATTAATTAAACCTACACTGCTGTTGTTAACTTCTCAAGACACACATCCTTGCGGGTAAACAAAATGAATAAAGTTACAATCTTGAAGGCTGAAATCCCTCTAGTTGCACAGAGACATAACATCTGAGATATTTTAACATTTATTTTTTCAGTTTAGTTCTCATCTGAACGCCTTAACTTTGGCGGACCTGTTTTTCTGCTGAAACTCTGCAGATCATCTTCCTCAGGGGACAACTCGACCGACACTGCATGAAGATGTCAAAGGTTGCAGAGAGGTACGACATCGTCACACAGCACACCGTCACACACCACACCGTCACACACGACACCGTCACACCACACCGTCACACACCACACATCACACACCACACCGTCACACACGACACCGTCACACACCACACCGTCACACACGACACCGTCACACACCACACCGTCACACACGACACCGTCACACCACACCGTCACACACCACACATCACACACCACACCGTCACACACCACACCGTCACACACCACACATCACACACCACACCGTCACACACGACACCGTCACACACCACACCGTCACACACGACACCGTCACACACCACACCGTCACACACCACACCGTCACACACCACACCGTCACACACCACACATCACACACCACACCGTCACACACCACACCGTCACACACCACACCTCCACACACCACACATCACACTCCACACCGTCACACACCACACCGTCACACACCACACCGTCACACACCACGCCGTCACACACCACACCTCCACACACCACACATCACACTCCACACCGTCACACTCCACACCGTCACACACCACACCGTCACACTCCACACCGTCACACTCCACACCGTCACACACCACACCGTCACACACCACACCGTCACACTCCACACCGTCACACACCACACCGTCACACTCCACACCGTCACACTCCACACCGTCACACACCACGCCGTCACACTCCACACCGTCACACTCCACACCGTCACACACCACACCGTCACACTCCACACCGTCACACTCCACACCGTCACACACCACACCGTCACACTCACACACCGTCACACTCCACACCGTCACACTCCACACCGTCACACTCCACACCATCACACTCCACACCGTCACACACCACACCGTCACACTCCACACCGTCACACTCCACACCGTCACACTCCACACCGTCACACTCCACACCGTCACACACCACACCGTCACACACCACACCGTCACACTCCACACCGTCACACTCCACACTGTCACACACCACACCGTCACACACCACACCGTCACACACCACACCGTCACACTCCACACTGTCACACTCCACACCGTCACACACCACACCGTCACACACCACACCGTCACACACCACACCGTCACACTCCACACCGTCACACTCCACACTGTCACACTCCACACCGTCACACACCACACCGTCACACACCACGCCGTCACACACCACACCGTCACACACCACACCGTCACACACCACGCCGTCACACACCACGCCGTCACACACCACACCGTCACACACCACACCGTCACACACCACACCGTCACACACCACACCGTCACACACCACACCGTCACACACCACGCCGTCACACACCACGCCGTCACACACCACGCCGTCACACACCACGCCGTCACACACCACACCGTCACACACCACACCGTCACACACCACACCGTCACACACCACGCCGTCACACACTATTCGGCGCACGTCCCTCTGGTCCTGCCGCTAAAGCAGCGATGGTCGCTGCTGCCGTCATCGCCGGTGTAACCACCAGCAAGCGAGGATTGTGCTTTCATAATATTATTTCGCTTTAAGTCAAGGCACGTATTATTTCATGATAATTTAATATCGCTGCACTTACGATAAAATCACTTCCCCAGTGACGGAAAGTTCCATCCAGAATTATCATATATAAATTAATGATGAAACATTATTTAAAAGGGTTCATACTGTGAGTGTGAATATGCATTGTCCTTTAAAGTAAGCCAAATGATGTACAACTATGCTGCTAGACTATAGTTTCAGTTGTTTTTGTTTTTATTATTGGCTAGAGTAGCTCACGTGCCGAAGCACTACCCTCATTGTCATCATTATTGTCATGACCATGATGCCGATTCTGACAATGGTGATGATGGTGGACATGAAGATACTGATGATTCTCATGATGATGCCGATTATGAAGATGCAGATGGTGACATTGATTACACTATGTAACACAATTTTTGTTTGTGGGTAGTAAGTGTTATATCTGTGCCAGCTAGCCAGGATTGGGTCAAGAGACCCATGCAACTGGAGAGCACAGAATAGATGTTTCTTGACTTATTGCTTTAGCAAGTACACATGTGCAAGAACCCACAATAAAAAAAACACAATTAAGAAGATAAAAATAAACATTCATACTGTCTGGGGACATGATTCCAATATCCAACTGGGCTATTTAAAACACTGCCACTGGCATCGCTGATCCATATTTGTACTGTTGTCCTGTGTTGTATTGGTGCTGTGTTTCCACCACAGCCTCATCAGCTACAGGGAGCAGTACACGGAGTACGATCCCTTCCTGACCACGCCGGAGCCCTCCAACCCGTGGATCACGGACGATACCACGCTGTGGGAGGTGGAGGCGAGGTGAGCCCCCCCTACCCCCGCCCCCCTACGATCTCCGCCCCCCCCCCTACGATCCCCACCCCCCCTCCGTATTATACCCCCCTACGATCCCCCCCCCATGGCCCCCGCTACGACCCCCCCCCCCCCCCCACGACGCAAGTGTGTCCCTCGGAGGGCCGGCCAGCACGCACTGGGTGCAGCATGCGGCACCCTGTCACGTGCCTGCCAATAAAAAACAACCCGAAATGCTCGACTGTTTAAGGACAGAGAACAGCAATACCCCCACCTGATACCAATGTGCCTGCCGAGTTAGCAAAATAAGTAAATGTAGGTTATATATTGAGTGAATAAATAAATTACTGGCGTTGCCTCGAGATCTCTGTGATTTTCCCATCATTTACATTAACTAAATTGCATGACCATAAGTGAATGTTAATGGTGAGGCCAGGCAAGGACTCGCGAAGCCATCTGCTTTAAGCAGTCTCACTACGATTAGACCAGAATGTGTGGAATATGTCAGCTGCAGCGATAAAAGCGAGCTGGCCCTTTGTGGAAGGACAATAATGTGAATGAAAAGAGGAATCCAATGAGCTACGGAGCTCTTTGACATAGACGTCCTCGCAAATCCCCCTTTGTAAGGGAGACAGATTCAGCTTCTGGGTCTCATGCTCAGGGCTCTGGCCATTCCGTAACCAAGCAAACACTCTGTGATGCTACGGTTCCGTGGGAATTCAGATGCTCTCTCGTTACCATAAAAACAATACCATCACCTAGGCGAAATGGACATCGTTAATTCGAAGTAGACCTAAATGCTGACAAAAATCCCCTCTCAGGGCCAGAAACTGATGAGACGACGTCTTCGAGTGACTTCCTGGTCAGAAGCCCGAGGAGACATACAGAGAAGTCTCGCTCGGAGTTTGAGTCGCCAGTAGCAAAGAGCAGCACGATGCGCCACATGACGTATGCACGGATGTGTGCATGTTGACATTTTTTTTGCACCGTACGTAGCCAAGCGTGCAAATTGTGAACCTGGTTTTTGTACTCACGCGTAGACTCCACTCACGTGAGATCAATGCTCCGATGAGGCGTTAGCTTCCTCAGCCACCTTGCCAGCGTGCTCCTCCGGTCGTGTTTTAGCTTCGGAGTTTGCGACCACTCGCCGCTCACAGGAAGGTGTTCACGTCGTGCCGTGTTGCCGTCTCCTCTTCGCAGCAAAGAGCCGAGTCAGCAGAGAGTGAAGAGGTGGGGCTTCGGCATCGACGAGGCTCTCAAAGACTCGGTGGGCCGGGACCAGTTCCTGCGGTTCCTCGAGTCCGAGTTCAGCTCCGAAAATCTGAGGTGGGAATGTGACTGCAGTGCAGCAAGTAGGCTCTCGTGACGTTTAAAGGAAATGGACGAAAAGTTCCAAGAGGGACCAAAATGTTCATCATCATCATCTTTCTCATAAGCCATGATCTATCCACTGCTGGAGAAAGTCCCCCCCGATGCTGTCGCTATCAGTCATGGTCCCGTGATGCAACATTCCATCACGAGCTGATCTCATCGCTCTAATCTCTCCATTAGTGGGCGCCCTCTGAGGCATTCTCTTCTGTGGTAGCCACTAGTGGCGTGTCCTACCCAAGCCGATGTAGTTTTATATAACGTGAAATACGATGTCTCTAAATTGCTGTTTCATGTCTTCCTTTCTGTCTCTCAGTCTAATTTCAAGCATGCAACTCTTCACGGTTTAAAAGTCTTTAAAAAATTCTCAGCTTTTTTTCAATATCGGAATGATGGAGAGATAATTCTATTTAACAAAAATAATTCCTGTGCAAACACTAATTAAAGACATCATCGCGTGAAAAATGTGGTTAAACTAATCTCGCCACATTGAGAGATGTTGCCGGGGCTGGAATAGTTCAATGTAAACCGTGAGGCTTTCCCACACATGTCAGCGCATGTCACGACAGCGTGATAAGTTGCCAGTGATTATACATTCATGCAAATGTGTGCCGCCCTAACGGGTCAAAATATTGGGGTCATTGGCCTCATCCGTCTCAATTACACTCAGTGCTGCTCTCGCGCCCGGCTCGGTGCACGCGGGAAGGTGGTCAGGAAGAGCCGAGCATCGCACACGCGACTGGCGCACACTCGCTAACCCTGTAGGTTTAAGCACTAGGGCTGCCAAGTTTGCTTATTTTTTAAAAATGTATTTCTTTATTCACATTTTCGGATGCATGGTCCATTCCAAGGATAAACCCAGGGTTACAGGTCACGTGCGTCCTCGTGCATAGAGCTCGGAGTTGGGATTTTCCATCGTTAGCCGTGCGTTTCTTAAAATAAACATGCGAGGGATGCGGTAAAAGTTTGTGGTGGTGAGGGGTGAAATGGACGGGGGGGGTGGCTAACACGTGGGAGGGTAAAGAGCTGCTGCGGCGCGCGTTGGCTGAGGGTGGCTCTCACGCGGTGAACCAGAAGTGCGTCCTGGTGTCACTGTGCCAGAGGGTTCCAGACATGGAGAGAGGGGGGTTTAAATGTTTTTTTAAAGAATGGATCCCACGATATTTTCGAAGTCTGCCTCCTTTCCAGGCTGACGAGTTTTAAGCCCATTTAATTCGATGGCTCTCAGAAAAAGCCAAAAATGAGTTCTTTAAATATTTTTTTTTACTTTGGAAAGTGGTATGATTAGCTTCGAAAATCGGTACGTTTCAAGTCGTTTTGTCCCGATTTGAAAGTTTCCTAGCCATAGAAAAGGGTGGTGAAATCGTTCAGCGGGAGCACGTTTGTCATTGTTGCAAAGGTTCACAGTTCGAATCCATTGGCCACCCTGATTAATACTGCAGATGTATTCACCGTCGACATACTCTATGCTATTTGCTTCACAGTGAACGTTACAGATCCCGTGATGCATTCACAAGCATGGGGACATTGTGTGCTGGCATCATTGTCCAATTTTGAAAATTTCCCACAAATTACTCATTGGGAATTTGCACAGCAATCATCGTCCCCTGCTGCGAACAACTTGCTGGACCCTCATGAGAAAGAGTCCTGAGACTCGGTGAAGCTTTCCCAGGTAAAATAAGCGTAATCATAATGTGCCAGGTAAGGTCCACTGAGCTATATCGCAATTTTTCAGAAGCGACCTGGCCACAAATAATAGCTCAACGAAGTGGCTTATCACGTGGTAATTTATAGCAGCCACATACTGTAAACGCACGTTGATTCTAAATATCGAGGGAAAAATTGGAGGACCCGGAGAAAAATCCACACGACCATAGGGAGAACACGCAGACTGCAAATATACGGCAGGCGTCAGGGTCAGGATCGAACCCACGACCTCCTGTATACCAGGCGAGGCAGTTAACATCTCCTAGCCACCGTGGCGCCCCTGCTCCACATGCTGCTACAGCTGTGCGTGTCTGGTCGCACAGGTTCTGGCTGGCGGTGCAGGACCTCAAGTGCCGGCCCATGCGGGAGGTCCCCGAACGCGTGCAGGAGATCTGGCGCGAGTTCCTGGCATCGGGGGCGCCCAGCGCCATCAACCTCGACTCGAAGAGCTACGACAAGACGCTGCAGAACGTCAAGGAACCCGGCCGCTACACCTTCGAGGACGCGCAGGTAACGCACTTGCGGAAATTTGTCCGGTCGTCATCATCGCCATCGTTGTCATCACTGACAACATCGTTTCATCATCCTCGTTATTGTTGACATCTTTGTCATCGGCATCATCATTGTCACCATCGCTGTTCGTTGACACCATCGTCTCGCTGTCACCATTGACGTTACCCAAATCATCATCGCCATCGTTTTCTGCGGCAGATATCATCACGACATTGTTATTGTCAGTATGACATGCAGTACAGCGTGCCATAAGGTGACCTAAAGGGGCAATTGTAATTCATTATTTGGTCTTCCTACACAGTCGCTCATTAGTTGTTAAACATGTAATTTGGAGATGTATATTTACTATTGACTAATTAATATAGATATAAACGCATGAGGATAATGATCTCCTGCACAACAGTTTATTGGTTCTCACTGACAAGTATTGTGAGTGAGAACTAATTAAGGTCATAAACAGCATACAATCGTGACTGAAATAAATATAACATTGGATGGAAGTTGCCTTCCTCAGTGCATACTTTAAATTACACTTTTAAAAGAGGTCCTGCCAGCTCTGTTGAAATTTTAGACCCCGTGGCAATCACTAATAAAGACCAGTGGGTGTTGACTCTGGTGGGTGTTGACTCTGGTGGGTGTTGACTGGTGGGTGTTGACTCTGGTGGGTGTGGACTGGTGGGTGTTGACTGGTGGGTGTTGACTGGTGGGTGTTGACTGGTGGGTGTTGACTCTGGTGTTTGTTGACTCTGGTGGGTGTTGACTGGTGGGTGTTGACTGGTGGGTGTTGACTGGTGGGTGTGGACGGGTGGGTGTGGGCTGGTGGGTGTTGACTGGTAGGTGTTGACTGGTGGGTGTTGACTGGTGGGTGTTGACTCTGGTGGGTGTTGACTGGTGGGTGTTGACTGGTGGGTGGTGACTCTGGTGTCACTGACATATTCCCATAACAGCTTGATGACATCTTTGTTCAGACCGTGATAGCCGTGCTAGCCGTGCTAGCCGTGCTAATAAAAACAGACAAAAAAGCGCCGACTATAATGTATAGCCCTGTACTGATTAACCTTGCATGCATCACTTCATCCGTTTAATATTTTATTACTTACGATTTATTTAAGCTGTATATACATTATATGCTATTGCTACAATGAGGTTAACAGAAAGGATGAAAGTGAACATATGACGGACCAAACGAGCTTCGCAGAAAAAGCGAGACAAATTAAAACATAATCGATTCTCTAACTGAGCCATGACCTCCAATCATGACAAATCTTAAAATTGCGAGGGGGTTATAACCTGCCTAATAATGCCCTCTTACTGTTCATAAAGCGCCTGAAACCCCAAGCAAACATACGCACACATCGCTTCATAGCTTGCCCTGCAAGTCATCGATGAAGCCACTTCACGCTGGCCAGTCGTACTGCAACAGGTGGGAATACCAGTTGTACTGCAACAGTGGGAATACCCACATTGCCCCATGTGACTAATTGTGGTGTGCCAATGAATGCTGCTGGGTCGACAAAGGCGCAGCAGCAGTGGGGGTGGGGGCGTTGTGGATTTAACAAAAACCTCCATTGTTGTTTTAAACCCCCGCTTAAAAAACAAAAACTTGCATCTTAAAAATAAAACACTTTTATAGCAAGTTAAAGAAATGAAAGGAGTGACACGCACATCGGTCGTGCGCTGTCATCGCGTCAACGTCGTCCGTGTGTTTGCGAAGGCGCCCTTCAAGTGAATTCCCACCTCGTGTATTCAACCACGAGACGGGCATTTTAATTCTCGAGTATAACGACACGCTCCTCATTCTCCCGTGGCAGGAGCACATATACAAGCTGATGAAGAGTGACAGCTACGCACGGTTCCTTCGCTCCAGCGTTTACCAGGAGCTTCTGCAAGCCAAGAAGAAGGTAAGCACCACCACTGCCGTTGCTCTCGCAGCTGTAGAACATTTCACTATCACGGCAGGGGATTGGTTGTCAATTAAAACATAAAAAATGGACACCATGCGGAAACATTATTCATTGATACTTGCAAATTGTTTATACAGAGCAGTGCCCCTCCAGAAACTGTGATATCTTAGTCCACCCAGACGGCATGGGAATGGGAATGGGCCCGAATGCGACTGAGAGTGGACAACTGTACTCTTTGGTTTAATTCGGTAAAGTCACGTAGGTTTAAAATATAGTCTATTACAATGAAAACAACTAAATTAAATCACTACGTTTCGGGCGCAACACAAGCGTCCGTCATCAGGCGGGGACAAACACAGCGAAGACAGTTGCTGAAACATGTCAGAGAGAGCTGGCTCTCACACGGGTTTATATAGCTGAGGAGGGTGGGGGGGGAACGTGGGCTGGGTGAGTGTGGGGGCGTGGGCTGGGTGAGTGTGGGGGCGGGGCGTGGGCTGGGCAAGTGTGGGGGCGGGGCGTGGGCTGGGTGAGTGTGGGGCGGGGCGTGGGCTGGGTGAGTGTGGGGGCGGGGCGTGGGCTGGGTGAGTGTGGGGGCGGGGCGAGGGCTGGGTGAGTGTGGGGCGGGGCGTGGGCTGGGTGAGTGTGGGGGCGGGGCGAGGGCTGGGTGAGTGTGGGGGCGGGGCGTGGGCTGGGTGAGTGTGGGGGCGGGGCGAGGGCTGGGTGAGTGTGGGGCGGGGCGTGGGCTGGGTGAGTGTGGGGGCGGGGCGTGCGCTGGGTGAGTGTGGGGGCGGGGCGTGGGCTGGGCGAGTGTGGGGCGGGGCGTGGGCTGGGCGAGTGTGGGGCGGGGCGAGGGCTGGGTGAGTGTGGGGGCGGGGCGTGGGCTGGGGGAGTGTGGGGGCGGGGCGAGGGCTGGGTGAGTGTGGGGGCGGGGCGTGGGCTGGGTGAGTGTGGGGGCGGGGCGAGGGCTGGGGGAGTGTGGGGGCGGGGCGTGGGCTGGGTGAGTGTGGGGCGGGGCGAGGGCTGGGTGAGTGTGGGGGCGGGGCGAGGGCTGGGTGAGTGTGGGGGCGGGGCGTGGGCTGGGTGAGTGTGGGGGGCGGGGCGTGGGCTGGGTGAGTGTGGGGGCGGGGCGTGGGCTGGGTGAGTGTGGGGGCGGGGCGAGGGCTGGGTGAGTGTGGGGGCGGGGCGTGGGCTGGGTGAATGTGGGGGCGGGGCGTGGGCTGGGTGAGTGTGGGGGCGGGGCGTGGGCTGGGTGAGTGGGGGCGGGGCGAGGGCTGGGTGAGTGTGGGGCGGGGCGTGGGCTGGGTGAGGGTGGGGGCGGGGCGTGGGCTGGGTGAGTGTGGGGGCGGGGCGTGGGCTGGGTGAGTGTGGGGGCGGGGCGTGGGCTGGGTGAGTGTGGGGGCGGGGCGTGGGCTGGGTGAGTGTGAGGGCGGGGCGTGGGCTGGGTGAGTGTGGGGCGGGGCGTGGGCTGGGTGAGTGTGGGGGCGGGGCGAGGGCTGGGTGAGTGTGGGGGCGGGGGCGTGGGCTGGGTGAGTGTGGGGGCGGGGCGTGGGCTGGGTGAGTGTGGGGGCGGGGCGTGGGCTGGGTGAGTGTGGGGGCGGGGCGGGGCTGGGTGAGTGTGGGGGCGGGGCGAGGGCTGGTGAGTGTGGGGCGGGGCGTGGGCTGGGTGAGTGTGGGGGCGGGGCGTGGGCTGGGTGAGTGTGGGGGCGGGGCGTGGGCTGGGTGAGTGTGGGGCGGGGCGTGGGCTGGGTGAGTGTGGGGCGGGGCGTGGGCTGGGTGAGTGTGGGGGCGGGGTGAGGGCTGGGTGAGTGTGGGGGCGGGGCGTGGGCTGGGTGAGTGTGGGGCGGGGCGTGGGCTGGGTGAGTGTGGGGGCGGGGCGAGGGCTGGGTGAGTGTGGGGGCGGGGCGAGGGCTGGGTGAGTGTGGGGGCGGGGCGTGGGCTGGGTGAGTGTGGGGGGCGGGGCGTGGGCTGGGTGAGTGTGGGGGCGGGGCGTGGGCTGGGTGAGTGTGGGGGCGGGGCGTGCGCTGGGTGAGTGTGGGGGCGGGGCGTGGGCTGGGCGAGTGTGGGGCGGGGCGTGGGCTGGGCGAGTGTGGGGCGGGGCGAGGGCTGGGTGAGTGTGGGGGCGGGGCTTGGGCTGGGTGAGTGTGGGGGCGGGGCGAGGGCTGGGTGAGTGTGGGGGCGGGGCGTGGGCTGGGTGAGTGTGGGGGCGGGGCGAGGGCTGGGTGAGTGTGGGGGCGGGGCGTGGGCTGGGTGAGTGTGGGGGCGGGGCGAGGGCTGGGTGAGTGTGGGGGCGGGGCGAGGGCTGGGTGAGTGTGGGGGCGGGGCGGGCTGGGTGAGTGTGGGGGCGGGGCGTGGGCTGGGTGAGGTGTGGGGGCGGGGCGTGGGCTGGGTGAGTGTGGGGGCGGGGCGTGGGCTGGGTGAGTGTGGGGGCGGGGCGAGGGCTGGGTGAGTGTGGGGGCGGGGCGTGGGCTGGGTGAATGTGGGGGCGGGGCGTGGGCTGGGTGAGTGTGGGGGCGGGGCGTGGGCTGGGTGAGTGGGGGCGGGGCGAGGGCTGGGTGAGTGTGGGGCGGGGCGTGGGCTGGGTGAGTGTGGGGGCGGGGCGTGGGCTGGGTGAGTGTGGGGGCGGGGCGTGGGCTGGGTGAGTGTGGGGGCGGGGCGTGGGCTGGGTGAGTGTGGGGGCGGGGCGAGGGCTGGGTGAGTGTGGGGGCGGGGCGTGGGCTGGGTGAGTGTGGGGCGGGGCGTGGGCTGGGTGAGTGTGGGGGCGGGGCGAGGGCTGGGTGAGTGTGGGGGCGGGGCGAGGGCTGGGTGAGTGTGGGGGCGGGGCGTGGGCTGGGTGAGTGTGGGGGCGGGGCGTGGGCTGGGTGAGGGAGGGGGCGGGGCGTGGGCTGGGTGAGTGTGGGGGCGGGGCGTGCGCTGGGTGAGTGTGGGGGCGGGGCGTGGGCTGGGCGAGTGTGGGGCGGGGCGTGGGCTGGGCGAGTGTGGGGCGGGGCGAGGGCTGGGTGAGTGTGGGGGCGGGGCGTGGGCTGGGTGAGTGTGGGGGCGGGGCGAGGGCTGGGTGAGTGTGGGGGCGGGGCGTGGGCTGGGTGAGTGTGGGGGGCGGGGCGAGGGCTGGGTGAGTGTGGGGGCGGGGCGTGGGCTGGGTGAGTGTGGGGGCGGGGCGAGGGCTGGGTGAGTGTGGGGGCGGGGCGAGGGCTGGGTGAGTGTGGGGGCGGGGCGTGGGCTGGGTGAGTGTGGGGGCGGGGCGTGGGCTGGGTGAGTGTGGGGGCGGGGCGTGGGCTGGGTGAGTGTGGGGGCGGGGCGAGGGCTGGGTGAGTGTGGGGGCGGGGCGTGGGCTGGGTGAATGTGGGGGCGGGGCGTGGGCTGGGTGAGTGTGGGGGCGGGGCGTGGGCTGGGTGAGTGGGGGCGGGGCGAGGGCTGGGTGAGTGTGGGGCGGGGCGTGGGCTGGGTGAGTGTGGGGGCGGGGCGTGGGCTGGGTGAGTGTGGGGGCGGGGCGTGGGCTGGGTGAGTGTGGGGGCGGGGCGTGGGCTGGGGGAGCCAATCCCAAAGCTGGGAGAACCCGGAAGTAAACCGCGCAGAACAGGGGGGCGGTACCTACCACTGGCTGACTCCACACAGAGAAGAGGCTCCCGCTTGAGGAATCGAGCCCAGGGGCTTCTAGCTATGGGAAGACACAAGCGTGACGACCACCACCGCGCTGCCACCAAGATGTAGCAGGCGATTAGAAGAAGCACAGCACACTGGGCTTGGGATTGTGGAGGAAGGGATGGACAGTTATGGACGCAGCTCAATCACCAGCTGAAATATATATTTTTACCTTGATTTTTATGTTACCAGGTAAGGCCCATTGAGCTATGTAGCTCCTTTTCAGAAGCAACCTGGCCACAAAGCATAGCTCAACAAGGCGGCTTATGTGTACATTTATATCAGGCAAATACTGCTATAAATACGCATGTTTCCAAATGTGGGGGGAAAAACTCGAGGACCCGGAGACAAATGAATATGACCAAGGGGAGAACATGCAAACTCCAAATATACCAGCATCAAGGTCGGGATCGAACCCACGACCTCCTGTATACCAGGCGAGGTAGTTAACGTCTCGTCAACGTCGCACCCTGAAGCCAAGCACCATCACATTGCAGATCCTAACAGCTACTCTTCCGCTCCCCACACACAACACAGGCTGTGAAAATGTTGTTCACATTCGACGCGTGAAAATCCGCGCTGGGAACAACTCGCCTGTTGACACGATGCCCGGCTAATTTTTGACATGTGCCACTTGCCTCGCTGCTGCTGCTGCTGTCTTTCTCGCGCCCTCGTCTTTGTTTTCACGTTAAGTTTGACTTTGAGCAAGACCACAGAACTTCGTTTGAGAAAATCACCCAAGCGGTGATGAGTGGGACAAGGCTCGGTCCGCTTCATGCTCTTCACCCCACGTGGGCTGGGGAGGCGTGCGAATACAATTACCCGTTCATGCAATGCGTGCCGCTATGCCACTTGGGACGTTCTGTATTATATATATTTTAAAAGTACATATTTAGCATTTATATTCACAAGCAAGCAGGCTTAGGTGTAAGCCGCATTCACACTTGCCAACAGGAAGTGATGTCACTTATGCTCTTTTCCACTTCAGGGTTCCGCTGCGGTCTACTTTGTGCATGAGACAAAATTCGAAGCTTTTCTGTAGATCCCCGGCTTCTGAAGAAATGCACCGCGCCAGATTCCACGCCCAATAACTCTTTTCAAGGGTCCCTGGCCTAATTAGAAACTAAAAATCAATGTTGCAACACTTTTGACCTGTTCTTTGACCCTGCAAACACCTGAAATAATTGTTTCGTGTGAAATCTGATATGGGACACCGGTAGACGACATCACGTCGGTTATTGTTTATTTATAGACTATAGACCGAGTATAAGGTCACACACGTGCACGCTCGCACACCGTTAAATCTCACACTCGCAATGCCATGATTGACACTGTTATCCTTCCAACTGAGTTGTACT